ATTTCTTCTTTCCAGTCGCAAAACTCCGTCTACAGCGACCGAAACCCCAGGTTCGGCCCGTCGTATGCTGGGCTCCATCGAAAGGTCCTTGCATAAAGTACGACATGCTTTGACACCCAAAAAGCCCTCTGATACCAGTCCAGTTGTTTTGGCTGCTAAGGTACGTTTATTAAAAGCTTTCTTCTCCTTTTTTTTTTTAAATACTTTTTTCGTTACAGGATTTGTGTAATGTATCGACCACACAGTGTAATGATCCCGAATTTGTGATAAGCGAGTTGCTGAAAGCCTTGCACGAGAAGGGAATTATGTGTGAACGCAAAGGGTGAGTCACATTTACTTAGGTACCATTTTTTTATTGCTAGTATAGTAGAAGTTTGTCATGCTTGGATTTTGCTTTAATGTGGAACTATGTACAACAAGGTGTAATTTCACCTAATATTGTCATTTAGTGCCTGAAAAATATTACTTTAGGTAGGGTTGGCTTTCATATGTGGTACAATTGCCTTTAAGTATATATATGTATATAATAGATTAGATTAGTTGAAAAATTAGTAGAACTGAGCTTTTTGCGATCCTCATTGTTTGCTGGTAATAAAAAAAGTGCGCTCTGAGGGTGTGTTGCCTGCGATTGATTAAAGATTCAATAGGTGTCGCCTTTTTCGGCTGTAATGGGCCGGTGGGCTTTGCTGAATATCAATTAACACCTCCAGACAAGGAAAAAGTTTTGCTTTGACTAAGTTATTACATCCAGACGCAAACTTTTTTGGATTCCTATAAAAGCGTCTACTTATTGGACATATGTATGTAAGGATGCGCTTGATTTAACATTTTTGTATAATACTCATGTGAGACGATCCTCGATTTTTAAGCTGGAATTTAACAATTGTGTTGTTTTTCACTTACCTATCTTACGCTAATTATTAAGAATAATAATAACAACCAGGGGCGAAGTTTTAAAAATTGAATAATTAAAAGAATGAAATGAAACAGTCCGGAAGATTATATCTTTGGGGTTCTATATAAAGAAAAAGGCGAGCCTTTATGAAAAGTTTTTGTTTTCTGTTTGCATGTCACGCAAAAATTGTAGTTGTGTAGTTAGTGAAAGTATCATACTATGTAGTGATCTATTTGTGCTTGACTGGATCAGCAGATCCTTTACCTTTATTCTACAGTATCCTTAGAAGAATTTTTTAACATAATAATACCCACCAAAAGTTTGGACAAAAATTGAGAAGAAATCCATTAAAATCCTACAGGTTAGATATCATGACTATATCTAATTTGTAATGAATTGGATTACTGTTGATTGAAATTGTCACTTTCGTGTTGGACTACTCAATAATAATTATACATAAAAAATTAAATAATGATGACCTATCCTGTCACATTCTACAGTTTCTTCTATGAAAAACAAAACGGGAGATCACCTGCATGACCAAAAACCTTATCAGAAACTGGTAGACACCTGCACCTCTTTTTACCCTTTTCACTTTATTCAGAATCAAGTTTTTCTTGTTTTGAATCGTATTGAATGGAGGGACAGCTTGCATGCCGCTGGATGAATCTGTTTGTTAGACTTAGAAAACAGATTTTATTAACAGGAAGAATGATTCGCATTTCAGGTTTCGTCTTCGCGGAAAAATGGAACCAAGTCTCGAAAACTACTTTGGTGGCTGTTCTTTCGAATTGGAGATTTGTTACGTTCCAACTTTGATACCATCGTTAAAATTTGGCAATGATTTTTGTACACCCACAAAATCGATACTTAAAAATGGTTTGTTTAAATATGATGAGAATCATCCTACTACCACTAACAATAATATTAATAACAATAATATTGGTAGTGGTGATGGTGGTAGTAAAATACCAAAAACGCCAAACGGTAATGTCAATATGTATAGTAACGCAGGTAACTTTAACGAACCCTTTGGTTCCCCCATGTCATCAAAGTCATACAGGATTGGCATAAGAAGGAAACGACTCAAAGGAGATTCTTGGTGTTATAAAAAGGTATGCGAAGAAATTTTAGCCCTCACTGCAGCCGATCTGAAGCAGTCTGTGCTAGAATCGTTGGTTTGAATTTCCTTCGTGGAATTAAAAGACGATTATTGATGATTAAAGCAAATACAAAAATGATTGAAAAATTATGTACCTGATTTTGGCATTCCAGAGATTAGACTTAGAAATCATTTTACGAGTGACTTAAAGTCTACGATTGCGCTTTATCTATAAAATCATTCATCAAGAAGAATTGCAATAAAATAAGGGATCGACGTTCAGAAAGCACAACATCCCCTCCCTGTAGTACACGTCACTCTCCCCTCTCAAAAAGGCTTTACCTACCATACATACGAATGAAATTTTAGATTTGTATTCCGGATTATTTTTTAAGTATTATACGCAGTAAATTATTATAATACTAATTTGGAGGTCACCTCCCTTCTTCCCTCCTCAAGAATATATTACGTGGCCTATGGGCGAACCCTAAGTCATACCGTATACAGTTATTTGGTTTTTATTTCTTCATCACATAAATTAATTTCCTAAACGTAATTAGTACAGTATATAATACGATCTCAGCGACTAATATTTGTTTTATTTTTATGGACGGACAGACTGTTATTTTGAACTTATTTCTTTACTTAATTAATTAAAAAATAAATACCTACACATTAATCGTTATGCAATTATTAGTAATATCTTTTGTCATTTATTAACAAGCAAATACTTTTTTCTATCTATACGTGTGTATATATGCAGGGTGTTTGGATATTTTCTATTTGTATGTATATACTTTTGACGATATAGTTTTTTTGTACTTAATAATTATTTTTGAATATATTGTGCTATAATTTTTTTTTCTTATTTTGTTTTTTAATCCAATAATTTACTCAAGTCTTAAAAATCTCTACGTAATTTATCGGCTATCGAAAGCCAGAGGTAAGACAGTTTTCGTATTTTCTACAATAATACTGGTGACATTAAAAGGTAAAATTCTATTATTACAAAAATTGTGTTAAAGTCTTCGTCAGGTACAAGTTATTTTGCGTGGCGAAAGATAAACATCTTAACGATGTTGATAAGAGTTGTTCTCCGTTGTTCAAACAACTTTTTTTGCTGTTCTATTTTAATGTGAACTTGAAAGGTCATAGTGAACGTTCCATCTCGTATTCATTCGGTAATTGTAATCGGTTTTCGTGTATTTGTATTTGTGTGTGGCCGCGACAGTGCATCTTTAGAAGAAGTATGAATAATAGTCGGTGTTTTTTAAAATGTGGAAAA